GAGGATGCAGAGGACAGAGTGAGGACAGAGGACACAGACAGGACAGAGGATGCAGAGGACAGAGTGAGATGGAGGAGGACTCGCTGTTGAGACCTCTGAAGAGGAAAAAGCTGAAAGAAGACAACATGAGAGTCAGTGGAGGTGTAAGATGTTGTCATTCTGGTACAAGTGTTAAATATTGTGGAGATGGGACATGGGGACAGGTCTGTTGGGACAGGGGACAGGTCTGTTGGGACAGGGGACAGGTCTGTTGAGAATCAGAGCAGCCAATCCGATCACTGTTGGTCATGTGATGTGATCATAAAGAGCCCAAACAGGTGAACAAACAGTTGTAATACGATGTCTTTATTTCTTTGTCATGGAAGAGTCGCTGTGAAATCCAACTCTGCAAACAAGTTTTCTAAATATAAATTGATGGTTTTCGAACATAAGAGAATATCAATAGAATGTTTTTTCATTAAAATGTATGCACATACATGTAGAGTGTCTTAAAACTTTATCTGCTATTTCCCTGCTCTCTACTTTCTTATAATTTAATTTTTATTTACAACAACTTTGAAACATAAAAAGACACCGGAGCTTCACCGCTTTGGCCCCGATCACGTGATCCTACCCGGAACTGTAGAGCCGGGTCGAGGTGTCAGACCGGAGCCCATTAGTCTGGGACCAGATGAGCGACTGGAAATGAGACTCTCCCAGAAGAAGTGCAGCCACTCAGCTGATCCACGCCGAGTTGTTTGACAACGAAGCTAAAAGCAGTTTGTTGTCCCGCTTCATTAGCAGCTAGCTAGCTAAGATGAGGCTGAAGGTGGGATTCCTGCTGCGGAGTTTACTGGTCGTCGGGACATTTCTGGCTCTGGTTGTGCTCTGGTCTTCTCTGTCACCGAAGCCCAATGACGAGAACCCCTTCAAGAAAAGGGTAAGAACAAAACTAGTTATTGTTATTATCCCTGAAGGAAAGACGTGAGCAGCTGGATCAGATCTGGTCATTCATGTCAAACTGTGCGATAAATGCGAACCTAAAGGAAATAAACTGAAACATGAACCATGAGAGCAAACATGAATGTAGAGTTGAAACGCTGGCTCGTACAGACGCTGTCTGAGGGTTTATCTGTAATCATTATAAAACTACTCCATGTTTTAGTTTTGAACAAATACATCATCACCTGAAGCAGAGAATTCTATTTCCGCCATCGTCACCGTGTTTGATGAGACACTGAGGCGGAAGTGAGGCGGAAGTGAGGCGTCTCTCCATCTGTGTTCCTATTGAACAGTAAACAGGTTCACACTACTTTCTTTAGTTTTCTACTCAACAAGAGTTCCATCCAAATCCTCTCAGCAGTTTCTGTTCGTCACGCTGAAAAGCTCTGAATAATAAAATCGTTCAACTTTTATTTTTACAGGTTAATCTCATTGAGCCTCGAGGACTCATTTACAACAGAGACCTGATTTAACAAAGAATCATACCATACCACTTTATTTATAAAGCACTTAAAACAGCTACAAGACCAACCAAAGTGCTGTACAGACAGAACAACAGGTAACACACAAATCAAAATACAAAATGAGGTAAATCAGAATATAGACATAAAAACGATGCAGATAATGATGACTAACCAGTGTGGAGCATACAGGATCAAACACAGATCATCTGGTGTTGAAAGCTACTGGATAGTAGTGAGTTTTTAAACGGGACTTGAAAACTGAGAGGGAGGGGCCTGTCTGACAAGCAGAGGTAACTCGTTCCAAAGTCTTGGTCCTGCTACAGAGAAGGCCCTGTCACCTCTGCGCTTAAGACGAGTTCCTGGAACTGTGAGGAGCAACTGGTCCGCTGACCTCGGGGAGCGTGGTGGGACATACGGTTGTAGCAGATCAGAGGGATGGGGGGGGGGGCGACACTGTTCAGTGATTTGTAGACATACAGGAGTATTTTGAACTGGATTCGAAAGTGAACTGGTAACCAGTGCAGTGAGGCCAAAACTGGTGTAATGTGCTCTCTTTGCCTGTACTGGTTAAAAATGGGGCTGCTGCATTCTGGACCAGTTGTAGTCGTGCAATGGAGGTCTGACTGATACCAAACAGGAGTGAACTGCAGTAATCAAGCCTAGATGTAATGAATGCATGTATTACTGTCAGTTGAACCCGGAGGCTCCGCCCCTGTTTGATGATGGAAGTTTCTTTTCACAATCGTCCATCATTAAACAGGGGTGGAGCCTCCATGTTCAACTGTCCCCCTCTTACAATGCTGTGATTGCTAGTATCACTCAGCCCTCTGTGAATAGTAAACAGCCATCAGGTGCTAATGATCCATTGTTAG